TTGTTTCTGTTAACTACAGGTTAGCTCCTGAGTACCTTTTACCCATAGCTTATGAAGATTCCTGGCTAGCTCTCAAATGGGTCGCTTCACATATTGCCAATGGTGATGGTCATGAGCCATGGCTAAAAGACCATGCCGATTTCAATCGCATGTATTTTGGGGGAGATAGCGCGGGTGGTAACATCGCACACCATATAGCTATTCGGGTCGGGTTGGAAAAGTTGGATGTGAAACTTGAAGGGATTTTCCTTGCCTGTCCATTTTTCTGGGGGAAGGATCCTATTGACGGTGAGGGAGGTTCCAAGGATGTCATTGAGAAGCTATGGTTGTTTGTGAATCCCAACAGCTCGGGATTAGATGACCCGTTGATGAACCCGGAAAAGGATCCGAAGTTGTGTAGCTTAGGATGTGATAAAGTACTTGTGTATGTTGCCGGAAAAGATACATTGAGATTCAGGGGATTTTACTATAAGGAGGTGTTGGAGAAGAGTGGGTGGCCAGGAACGGTGGAGATTGTGGAGGTTAAAGATGAGGCACATGTGTTTTACCTGTCTGCTACAGAAGCTGAAAATGCCATGGCAATGATGAAAAAATTGGCCTCTTTCCTTAATCAGTCCTAGGCCTACTCATGGTATTGACTACTATTTTTATGAATAAAAAATGGATGTAATTGTTAAAGATTTTCTCATGGTTCTTAATATATTTCTCAATCTGCGGCGGCCTACTGTTTTTGTTGACTAAATGTAAGTTGGTAGGAGAGTTCATTTTCACTGTCATAGTTCATTAATCTGACTCTCTATTTATGGCGCATCTTCCTCCACTGCTTCAACTTGTTATTTACTCCCTCCGTCCCATTTTATGTGGCAACATTTGACCGGGCACGGAGTTTAAGAAATAAATGAAGACTTTGAAATATTTACCAAATTGTCCTTTTAAAAAGTAGATTCAATTTCTCTCTCCTCATAAATGTATTGGAGTATTATTTTTAGATTAAGTGGGACCAACAAGGATAAAAAAGGAATTGTACCTTTAAATACTTTCCAAATAAGGAAATGTGACATTCTTTTTGGGACTGACCAAAAAGAAAATGTTGCCACATAAAATGGGACGGAGGGAGTATAAGATAGAACAAACTTCTTCAAGTGATGAAAAGGAATACCACCAACATACGTTTTTGTTTTATAAAATATAATAATAATCGGAATACCAAATTTATTAGTGTAAACTCGCTGTTATCGATCTTTCTGGTAAGCTCCATTTAAAATAAATGGCCTTGCCTTGGTCGTGAGTATGGGCTACGCTCACTAGCATTGTTTGTATATATGGTGATGAATTATAAGATCTTAGAGGGAAAAAATATCAGATGTGGGCATTTACACCGTTCAAATTGAATATAAAAATTTGATTTGAGTTTTTTATTTTTATATTGAAGAAATTACCGTTCAAATTCAATTTAAGCTTTTATTTAAAATTAATCAATTTTGATATTTTGAATTTCAATTTTTGAGCCTTTAAGACAAGTATTACAATTACGAAGCTCAATTCACTCAATAGTTTGTTCTTTCGAATGTACTATAACTTTTTACGGTTTACAAGGATTGAGGTCACTGTGACACTCAAGCCATGGATTAAGTTTTACTTACTCATAGACTATTTTTTCACTTTTATCTTGATTAGCAACATGATATTAAAAGTGACAATAGAATTATTTGATTTTAATCAATGAAATCATTTACATTATTATTTAATAGAAAATATGATATACTTTCTTTGGAACTTTTTTTTTTTTTTTTTTTTTTTTTAACCGTGGTTTCCGAGCGTCGCTTTGCGAACCCGACTAGTTATACCCACCGGGTCCCGCTGTTTCAAGGCGGGTCCACAACGATTAGTTCCACGGGGCCCTGGAGACGCGGCCGGTTTGTAATGCCTCCAGTGGCCCTGCTGGGGCTCGAACCGACGACCTGAAGAACTTTGTCCCAGGCCTTTACCAGCTGAGCTACCCCTCAGGGTTTTTTCTTTGGAACATAGAATACTAAACTATTGGACTTTTAAAAATAAAACTTATTACCAAGTTCTTGGTTTTAAAAGTAGATCTCACAGCCCTTGTGCATAGTAACACCAACCTTTTCTGGTAACTTAGCTTTCAGCAATGGCGGAAATAGTACATGATCTTTTCCCACTGATTAGAGTTTACAAAGATGGTCGAATCGAGAGGCTGATGGGTGAAGGTTTTGTCCCACCTGAATCGGATCCTGAAACCGGAGTACAAATCAAAGACATTGAAATTGATCCACAAATTAACCTATCAGCAAGACTTTATCTGCCCAAAAATATAGACCCAATTCAGAAAATTCCCCTTTTCGTCTACTTTCACGGCGGCGCCTTTGTAATCGAATCTGCTACTTCGCCGACATATCACAAACATCTAAGCATGGTAGCAGCTGAAGCAAAAATCGTCATTGTCTCTGTTAACTACAGGTTAGCTCCTGAGTACCCGTTACCCATAGCATATGAAGATTCATGGATAGCTCTCAAATGGATCGCTTCACATGCTAATGGTGATGGTTATGAACCATGGCTAAAAGACCATGTCAATTTCAATAGCGTCTATTTTGGGGGAGACAGTGCGGGTGGTAACATCGCACACCATATGGCCATTCGGGTCGGGTTGGAAAAGTTGGAGGGTGTGAAACTTGATGGGATTTTCCTTGCCTGTCCATATTTCTGGGGGAAGGATCTGATTGACGGTGAGGGAGAAAACTTGTTTGTCAAGGATTGCATTGATAAGCTATGGCTGTTTGCGAATCCCAATGGCTTCGGATTAGATGACCCGTTGATTAACCCGGAAAAGGATCCGAAATTGTGTAGCTTAGGGTGTGAGAAAGTACTTGTGTATGTCGCCGGAAAAGATCCGTTGAGATTCAGGGGATTATACTATAAGGAGGCGTTGAAGAAGAGTGGGTGGCCGGGGACGGTGGAGGTTGTGGAGGTTAAAGATGAGGAACATGTTTTTCACCTGTTTGCTCCAGAAGCTGAAAATGGGATGGCCATGTTGAAAAAATTAGTCTCTTTCCTTAATTAGTCCTAGGCCTTTTAATCATGGAATTGAGTACTATTTTCATGAATGAATTGGATGTAATTGTTAAAGATCTTCTCTCTTTTTTTTTATTGAATTAAAGTTCAATCAATAAATATTGAATCATAGAAAGATTTTGTGATAGCTTATTACACTTTGTTATTAATTTTTGTTTATAATAGCAAGTCCAAACAAAATTCAACTTCAAATAAAGGCATAATAGTTACTTTTTTTGTATAACAAAATTATTAGTTATTTGTTGGGATTTCTTCAAGACATTTCCCTTGAATCATTAATATTTCTACCATAGAGTTTCTCCCTTATTCGTATAATCTGTATTTTAAAAAAATAAAAAATTAAGTAAAATACTCTCTCTGTCCTAATTAGTTGATCATCTTACTAAAAATATTTATCTCATAATAGTTGATCACCTTACTAAATCAAAAAAAAAAAAAAAAAAAAAAATTTCCTATATTACCCTTGAAATTAATTCATTTGAATGTGTTCATACTTAGTTGTAAAATTTCCAAAAAGATTTTTTAAGAGGTGAATCAATAAAATTATTATTTTTTATTTATGTTATAGCTACTGTTTAGGGAAATTCTAATACGCAACTGCAATTTCGCCCAATCTGCTATTAGCCTGATTTGTATAATTCGCAGGACTTGTATAATTTGGTTCCTGATTGTATAAATTTAGAAATTTGTATATGCTTACCCGAGCAATTTGTATACGATTTATGAAAAATTCATAATAAATTACCATATTTCTATATTGTCAAGCGAAATATACAAACAGAGTTCTGAAAAATTTTCTTGATGTAAAAATACAGATTTTGTATATACTTACCCTATTTAAATATCTGCAAGCGAAATATACAAACGAACAGAAATATACAACTGCAGCCTCTATAGCAAATGAAACTATAGCTATGGAGTGCAATCATCGAAATTATAGATATAGAACCTTATTATGTCTATTAGGTTTGTTATTTTTTAAAAAATATCTTCTTAATATGCGTGTAAAAAGGAAAATAATCAACTAATATGGAGAGTAATTGGCCCAAGTGCTATATTGATCCAAGACTTTGCTACTTCAGATATTTTAATTGAAATTCACCGATTTGAAATATTGATATTTGCTCTTTAATTTGAGTGGTTAATAATGCACCTAAGTATGATGATATTGGGCTAAGGCTATACATGAATTTAATACATATGCCTAAAATATAAGAGAAAAGTTATTGCCCACATAATTTCATTAAAGTTTGAGCGGAATATCCTTAAAAAAAACATGAACAACACATCAAAATTTAAGAAAATACATAGAATAACCATGATCATTTAAATCCTTTTGGAAATTATTTCAAAATTGACGTGGAGCAATTACAAGTTTACAACCTTTTCTAATATTTGAAAGAATTTAATCCTTTTAGAAATTATTTCAAAATTGACGTGGAGCAATTATAAGTTTACAACCTTCTCTAATATTTGAAAGAATTTAAGTATTTGACTCAAAATCTTACCGGTATCTTAAAATATGATCTAAACCCATACAAAAATCTTCATAACAGATGAGAGACGGACATAATTATTGTATTACGAAATAATAATATTAAATTATGTTAATCATGGCTATTTATTGGTGAAAGTGGTCATAATTCATATTAAGCCACTTTTTTATGATCTAGAAAATGGTTATTATTCCTTGAAATCGTCAAATCTATATTCTTATAACTTATTACTTCATTATCTTTTAATTGGATATGAAAAATGTTGTAGAGTGAATGAAAAAGTAAAATTATTATTGGAAAAAAGAGATCTTTTTTATTTATTTATTTGGACATTCAATTCAAAATCCATATAATTAAAGAGCAGATTTTAAAACAAAGCAAATTCTTGGTTATAAAAGTGACTGTCACAGCACTAGTGTATAGTATACCAACCTTCTCTTGCAACTTAGCTTTTAGCCATGGCGGAAATAGTACATGATTTTTTCCCATTGATGAGAGTTTACAAAGATGGTCGAATCGAGAGGCTGGCGGGCGAAGTTTTTGTCCCACCTGAATCTGATCCTGAAACCGGAGTACAAATCAAAGACGTTGAAATTGATCCACAAATTAACCTATCAGCAAGACTTTACCTGCCCAAAAATGTCGACCCGGTTCAGAAAATTCCCCTTTTCGTCTACTTTCACGGCGGCGGCTTTGTAATCGAATCTGCTTTTTCACCTACATATCACAAATATCTTAGCCTGGTAGCAGCTGAAGCAAAAGTCGCCATCGTCTCTGTTAACTACAGGTTAGCTCCTGAGTACCCGTTACCTATAGCTCATGAAGATTCATGGCTAGCTCTCAAATGGGTCACTTCACATGCCAATGGTGATGGTCGTGAACCATGGCTGAAAGACAATGCCGATTTCAATCGTGTCTATTTGGGCGGAGATAGCGCGGGTGGTAACATCGCACACCATATAGCAATTCGGTTAGGGTTGGAAAAGTTGGATGGTGTGAAAATTGATGGGATTTTCCTTGCCTGTCCATTTTTCTGGGGGAAGGATCCTATTGACGGTGAGGGAGAAAACTTGCTTGCCAAGGATTTCGTTGAGGATCTAGTGTTGAGTGGGAATCCCAATAGCACCGGGTTAGATAAGGATCCGATTGACGGTGAGGGAGAAAACTTAGGTGCCAAGGATCTCTTTGAGAAGCTATGGTTGTTTGTGAATCCCAATAGCTCGGGATTAGATGACCCGTTGATTAACCCGGAAAAGGATCCGAAATTGTCTGGCTTAGGGTGTGAGAAAGTACTTGTGTACGTCGCCGGAAAAGATCCGTTGAGATTCAGGGGATTGTACTATAAGGAGGCATTGGAGAAGAGCGGGTGGCCGGGAACGGTGGAGGTTGTGGAGGTTAAAGATAAGGCACATGTGTTTCACCTGTTTGTTCCAGAAGCTGAAGAAGCCATGGCCATGCTGAAAAAATTGGCCTCTTTCCTTAATCAGTCTTAGGACTTCTAATTAGGGGTGCGCATCGGTCGGTTCGGTTCGGTTTTAGGTGTTATTGGTTCGGTTTATCGGTTTTCGGTTTGTAAATACTTCAAACCGATAACCAAACCAATAACATATTTCTTATCGGTTTTTGGTTAATCGGTTTATGGTACTTAACGGTTCGGTTTCCGGTTTAACCAATAAGAAAATACTCATATATATTATATACACGATAAGAAAATTTTCAAATAGACCATATGATTTTTCCAGCATTTGGCATGAAAGTAATAATCATAAAAGTAACAATCATTTTTCTTGCAAGTTTAGACACTAGACACATTCAAAGGAAAAAGTGTGAAAGTAACAATCGTTTAACCATTAACAAAAAGTGTGAAAGTAACAATCGTTTAACCATTAACAATAAGACTAGTAAATTTAGTATAGTCTTATTGGGTTATCGGTTTAACCATTAACAAAAATTATAAAACCGGAAACCGAACCAATAACCCAATAAAAAATTTTGCAAAACCATTTAAAAACCGTTAGCCCAATAACCCAATATCAATAAACCAATAGTGTTTTTTTCGGTTCGATTTATTGGTTAAATCGGTTTTTGCACACCCCTACTTCTAATCATGGAAATTTTCATTTTTAATCTTGTTTGAACTAGTGTGTGATTTCAATTCAACTATAATAAGTCAGCATGTGCCAAACTTATATAAATAGCAAAGTCTGCAAAAATGAATTGAGTACTATTTTTAATAACGAATTGGACGTAATTGTGTTTTTGTTGTTTACCATCTAAGCATCTAACTCAAAACTTTAAATTGATTTGATAAAATATCTTAGAAGTCATATGAAAATCTTTTTTACTGACAGGGACGTGCATAATTATTAAATTACACAATAATATCTAAGCATTAAACTATGTTAATTGTCATTGCTATTTAGTGGAGAGAGTGGTCATGACTTCTACTAAGCCACTCTTTCATGATGTAGAAAGTGACCATTATTCCTTGATAGAGATGGCAACAGCCGGTAGGGGCTTAGGGGAATGTTTGAGTTTGACTATCTTAGCCTGCTTTATTCTGCCTCGTTTAACATTTTTTCAAAAATTTACCCTGACCCAATTTTTAATATGTTTTAAAAATATTTTAAGCTGTTAATTATTGTAATTTAAAGTAATTTTTAATTAATATATGTTACTCTTTATGTCTCAAATTATGTTATATATGTGAAATTTTAAAAGTCAATTAAATTTTTAAATATTTTAAGCTATTAATTATTGTGATTCTCCATAATATAACCTCTATTTTTTTAATGTAAGTGTTTATATTAGTTGCTTATTTAAGTGTTTTAAAGAATATCTTAAAGAACCTCAAACCTAGATATATTTACCAAATTATATGAGACAACTTAAGTAATAATAAATAAAGTATGGACAAAACTAAAATTTGTTATTGAACATAATAAATTTTATGTTTCCTATGAAGCTTTTGATTTGTATAATTCACTAGATACATCCAATTTTATATATGTTCAATTTTGTATAAATTCATTTATACATTGTAATTTGTATATTAAGATCTGTATTTGTATAATTATAAGTGTATAGGATAAAAATATATGTATTTGTATTTGTATATACACTTTTCTCTCGCTTTATACAAACACAAACGCATTTTATACCGAAATGTATAAAATAACTAATTGTATACCGAATCAAATGACAAAAAATAAGATATTTACTGCGAATTACAAATAAAATAAATTATAACTATAATATTTAATTTAAATTAATAATTTGCTATTTCATACAATTTTCCAACTTGAAATGTGACACACCTCGAATAACCTGCCAAAAGATAAGCTAAAGGGCAAATTGGTCAACACTGAATTAAGATGTTTCATATATGGGAACTATACAACAAAATAGCTATGGCAAATTCCGGAAAAGCCCTGAAGCTAACATCTTAGAATACATGCAACAAATTGGCTTGTAGTGTTTAAAGAATTTGTCTACTTTATTTTACTATTTACAGTTGAAAAATTATCACCGTCATTTGTCCTACCCCTTTAAATTATTTCACATATTGAGTTTTGCCCATTCTATCGTGCTCGTTCTATTGTCATCTATATTCCTTAAAATCGTCTTTCTGTATATTCATAATTTATTACTTCACGATTTTTCAATTGGTTGTGAAAAATATGATAGAGTGAATGAAAAAATGAGATTAGTATTGAGAAAATGAAGTTTTGAGATTTAAGAACTTATTCACAATTTGTTCGAATTATACAATAGTTGATTTGTTGTATCACGGAGGAGACAAGTGAAAATGACTAATGTTAGACTAGTGAAGATTTCACTTTAGTGACTTGAATTTTCTTATTAAAAGTGAAATATTTACGATTTAGTTTAAGTATATTTTATTTTTCAATTATAATTGTATTTTTCCTACCAAAAATAACATTCTCCTCATTTTATAACTTATTCAAGTGGATTAAATATATATCCTTTTTATCTTTTTTCTATTCTTTGAAATAAAGTGATTGGAGACTTACTGTGAAGAGATATTAAGCTGAACATGTTAATGAATAGGTTATAATAATGTTAGTGGTTCGAATGTGCTAATTTTTAAAAGAAGCTAAGGGATGTGTAGAAGCCCAAATGGATAAATATAGTTTGAATTGATAAGGAGAAGTCTCGAGCATAAAACAAAAAATAAAAATCAAGTCATATTGACTCACCATATTTGATTGTATGAAAAAAAAATGAATATCCAATCAAATAATTTAAAGGGTAGCGTGTGTTTTTTTTAATCATCACAATCGATAAGGGAGAAGTGTGATATTCCATAAGGAGAATCACAAGTTCCTCGAGTTCATAAATAATTATAACCTTGATATTGTAAATGAGTTAAAAACAACATATACGAAGAAATATCTACTTAGAATGTAATGCTATTATTTTATATTTAAATATCTATTATTTAGTTTGATATGTAAGTTAATTTATTTTTGATAATAAAAAATCTTCCAAAAAATCATATATATTTGTAAAGCTAGATTAAAAAAAAAGTGATGTGGCACCTCTCAATGGCCTAGGATCCTATTTATTTTTTTTGTGGTTTTTTTTGAGTTTTTTCATTAATCAATTTATTAAATAATTAAAAAAAACAATCATATTCATTACATATAATTATATCATATGAAAGTTACAAAAAAACCTCCACCTATTTGTATTCTCTAATTAAATAACATGTCTCCTCAACTTCCTTCTACTAAATTCTTATGATTTAAATCGTCTATAAATAGCAATCATCTATGGTGTTGTTGCATGTTCATTTATATTTTCTCCAACTTCATATTGTTAGTATTATTTTTTTTTGTTTTTCAGCTTTATGAAGATTATTATAGATATATATTTTAAAATTTCTTCTTGTGTTACAATAGCCAAACAAAAGTTTATCAAGATGAAGAAGAAAGTTTGAAGCCGGTGTAAGATTCGTCAAAAGAGATGATCAAAAATTAATTTGCTACAAGTCATCAAAATGAAGAAGAAAGTTTAATGGCGGTAGAAGATTCATCAAGAGTTGGTTAGATTATAATTTGAAAAAGTAGAAGTTTCAATAATTCACAAATATATAGATGCACTTATTGTTCCTTATATAATTTTTCAATTAATTATTTATCCATCAAGATATGTACCCTTCAAGAACAAGATTTATTACAAAGCACTTTTTGTATCAAGGGCAACATGATCTTCAACTGACTATTTTGTTGCTTAAATAATTTTTTTTGATATTTTCATTATACAAACTTTTGTCTTTTGAAAAATACCATCCATACTCTATCGATATATATTATGCATATAACATGTTAATATGAGATAATTTCTCGATCAAGATTCCATCATCTTTTGTTTAGTTTCATCCGCTTCTTTTCATTCTAATTTAGATGATATAATACATTTTTTTCTTTTGTGGAATTTGAATCGACTAAAAAAGAGATGAGATTCCCTCCATTAAGTTTTTGTTTCGTATTTGTTAACACTTATGTAAAATTAGTCTATATATATGATTGTTGGATTCAATTTTCACAAAACATATAATTCTTTTAATTTAATGAAATTTGTCCGAATGAACCAAGTTTGTTCTGCCAATATCCAATTACAATGAACATATTTTCTTAAGTTAAGAAATACTAAAAGTAGAAAAATAATTATACATAGAGAAAATTGATATTTGTTTAATTAAGTTGATTATGAAACTGTAAAGATGAGTTTACTCTCTTCATTAATTAATTTGTTTGATAATTAAAAATCTTATAATATTTATTACATCTCATAAATTACAAAAACCTCCATCTATTCACATGCATTTTCTACTTAAATGACATATCTCCTCAACTCCTTTCTATGATTCTCGTCATTACCTCTACATTTAGTTTTCCCAAAATATAATGGCTTTGAATTTTAATCTATCATTTGCACATCAACTATTCAAGGTTTACATGTAAGAACATTTTCACGGATGCATATGTTTTTTCTCTATTTGTGGTTGTAAGATTTTGGTTACAAGACATACTAACTTTTTTTAAAAAAAAAAGGAAAATACTATTGTGTTGCGTTGTTCTTTTTATTAGTTGGTTGATCCATCTCATGACTTACAGTTTTTTTTAATCTATTTATATTTTACTTAAATAACATGTCTCCTCCATTCCCTTTTACCTAATTCTTTCTCTCTCTTTTTAAGACTTCATCCCATTTTTCTTTCATTTACAGCATATATATTAAAGTTACGTAAAATTAAGTCATTTATCTATTACATATATGAGCGCTCTAAATAACTTTAAAAATGAATGATTTATTTTCCTGATGACGCTGTGTACATATTCCGTATTCAAAAGATCATTTCATTCATAATTATTTAATATTGTAAATGAGGGGCAAAAATGAAAGAATTTTTCAACATCTCCCTTAAACTTTGAACAATTCACTTATTTTGAACTATGAAAAATGG